ACTCTTCGAGTTATTTAGAAGGCTAGAAAACGTCAGTCAAGAATATGGATTGAGAATCAATTACAATAAAACCAGAAAACAGAAGGTAAATAAAAACAGAAGGTAACGATAATCGACCGTGAAAAAAGAGGACAAATCGCACAGGTTGAAAATTGCGAAGTGGTCGACGAGTTTGTGTATTTGGGCTCACTATTACACATCTCGGGGAGCTCAGAGCTTGAAATCCGACGGCGTATTATGTTGGCTCACTCAACGATGACCCAGCTTACCAAAATATGGAGGACAGGAATCTCACGAAGGCAACGAAAATTGGAATCGTAAACGCATTAATCTTTCCCATCTTCTCTTATGCCTCGGAAACTTGGGTGATAAGATCTGAAGATAGACGGCGCATATCGATGCTTTTGAAATGTGGTGCTGGCACAGAATGCTTCGAATATCCTGGACGGCAAAAAGAACGAACATCTCGATTCTGAACAAAATCCAGCCAACACAGCGACTATCAGCAACTACATACAGGTACGTATTTTAAGATTCTTTAGACACATTACTCGAAAAGACAACATAGAAAAGCTGGTGGTCCAAGGCAGGCCTAGGGGGAAACATAGACAGGGAAGATCGCCAACACGCTGGACCGATTTGATCTTCAAGTTAACAGATTTAAAACTGGAGACTGCAGTGAGGCGAATGATCGACAGAGATGGCGACGCATTATACGTAGAGTCATTCAAAACATGGATGGGAATGACTGAAGTCATGACCACCACACATCGGCCACGATGTTGGACTAAGAAGATTAGTGCGCACGTTAGCAGTACTCTAGTGTACAATATAGTGTGCAATATGATAATCGAGTATCTGCATAACACATGAAATCATCAACAAGTGTGTTTGAAATTGATCGAAAGATTTAAATCAACGCATTAACAAATTTAACAACGGCCGCACTTTCAATGCGGTTCGATTTTAGCAATTCACAATGAACGTGTCCGTCATTACGGCGTACTAATAGCTAAACACCAATTCGTCACTAATACCCAATCGGAGGCAGCGACTTAGCAGGCAACTGAAATTGTCGCTCGATAACGAATCGTTACTGTCGCAAACAAAGAAAATAACATAGAAGAATTGAAAATCAATACAAATAATATAATTCGGAAATACGTCAACTGTTTGGAGAGTCTTCTACAAGCTTAAATAAAAGCACGGAAAGAGCGAGCGACAAAGCCATTCTAGATCTATAAGTGAAAGGAATCAAGTGAAGTGATAGTGCAAGTTGTCACGTGCTCCCGTGAGGTAAGTAATTCGCGCGAGCACGGATCAAACAATAGGGAGGAAATCGCGTACGATTTCGGGGAGAGAAGGTGGTAGCCCTCCAGGATGTGTCCCTCCGGCGACCGACAAGGAGCGGCGACGCGAAATGTTGGGCGCCAGACGTGCTCCAGGTCACGTCACTCGCGAAACGCAACGATTAAGCGATAGCGCGAAAGAAATCTTTACACGCGACGACACTCGACAATCAAACGCTACTCCCGAAGTCGATCGCACGAGGGCCGGCCAGCTCCACCTAACGGCAGAGGGGCAGGGCGAGGCAAAAGGGCGAGTTAGGCGATAGGATGGCGCGGGGCGGGCGAAAGAATTCGTACTCCAGGTTAAGGGTAACAATAATAACGAGGTGGTTTATTACCCACCTAAAAAAAAGGCGGTAGAAAGAAAAAAAGATAATACAGTTCGGTAAGAAAAATACGGAAGCGAAAAGACTGAGTCGACGCTATTAAGCGCGGGTAATCCGACGGCACGATAAATTCCCGCGTAACGAAAGAAAAGGACAAGAAATAGACATGAAATTCGGCCGGAAACAAAAAGAAACACATTCAAAACTAGTCGGCGCGATGGTACAATAACGGACGGGGCTCGGTACGACGCGAGTACCGAGGTCTAACGACCACAAGTATAACCAAGACAGACAATCGTAAGTTTACGCGTCGGACACTCGTATGAAAGCGAAACCGATAGAAAATTGACTCACACCGATACGCAATGAAATCGCGCGCAATATCACAATACAGCGCGACGCACGACACTCGTGATTCCGAGTGCTCACACACTTACTCTAACGCTCGCGCGCTCAGGCGCGAGGGCTTTGCGGCGAACTCG